TACATTTTTGTGTATATAAAGAGAAATAATCAACCGATTTCATTGAAATTTAACATATGAATTCCCCGTATTAAAACAATGAACATGTAAATTTTTTGGAGAGATCAGGCATCAGCAACTAGACGTTTACCACGGGCCAAACATACACTTTTGTGTATATAAAGAGAAATAATCAACCGATTTCATTGAAATTTAATATATGAATTCCTCATATTAAAGCAATGAACATATAACTTTATTGGAAAGATCAGGGCTCGAGAACTGATTTGCGGGCCGATTTTACATTTTTCACCATATCCACAGAACAAATTGATGAAATTTCTTGAAATTTGATATTTGAGTTCTGGTTGTTACCGAAACTAACTGGCGAGCATTTCAGGGAATTCGGGTAGCACAAAGCGAAACTCTACTAAGAGCCAAATTTACATTTTTCTAAGTATGTTAACTATAAGCTTACTAATGTCCTAAAAATTGGAAAGAAGTATTTAACAGACATTTTTATAATATTCTGTAACACTTTCATTTAACTAGACAATACACAATGCGGTCGGTTATGTGCTGACCACATCAGATTTTTTTTTTTATAAAATTAACAATGATAACAATTTGTTATTTTATATTGAAAAAATGAATATAAACAAATTAGTTATAGTCTAAAAATAAATTTTAAACGATTTTTGTAAAATGTAATTGTCGAATTCCAATTATAAACTATAAATAATTTTTTTTTAATATTCTTGATCGATTTCAATTTTGATCAGACCTTAATTTGATTAATTTTAATAAAAAAATGTTCCAATGATATTATAAATTGATTTCTTGACTTCTTTCAAAAAATTTAATTTTTTATGATACGCTAAAGGTTATAAAATTATAAATTAATTTTATTGCATTGTAATTATGTTCTAAATCATAATTATTCGCTGTTTAACATTGCTATTGAAGATTATACTTAGAGTTATTTGATGATATTTCATAATAATACAGAATTGACCAATAATTATTAGCAAACAATTGATTCAGAAACCTGTGCTATGCCTCAATCATTCATTAATATCCAAGCGCTTAGCCAGAATTAATATTTTATTATTTTATTATAAGTTTATGGAATTGTTTCATTAATCAAAAATATAAAAGGCTTAAAGTCCTAAAATTTTTATAATTTTTCGAACCTCTTTTGAAAACATTCGTAATAATTATTACAATATCTCGATCTCGAACCGATTCCGATATATTATGCTGTTTAATCTTAATTCTATTGAAATAATTATTGATCGACAAACTTCTTTAACTCAAAAATGCTGGTGTTTTTTCAATTATCTCCAAAAATCATAAAAAATTTCTATTCATACATTTTCAGAAACAATAACCAAAACACTAATAATATACCTTATAGTCTTAAGGAAATAAAATTTTATAAAAGTACTATTACAAATCAACAGACCTTTTTAAAATATTTTGTGGTTTTAAATAAAGTGTGTTCCAATTTTTTATTTTAATCTACACGTGATTAAATAATTTAATTTTGAAATAGGCCAAAAAAATACAAAAATTATTTCCCATAAATTATTATTGGGGTAAAATTAATAAAAAGAGAAATTCGTATATATATATATGTATGTACAATTAATAGACGTTTTGTCAGAAATTTTACAATTATGTATCATGTTTTAAAGACATTTTCTCACGCTAAATATGACTAAAATGAGAATGACACTCCAGAAATAAACAATTCACTTTTAGTGAAGTACAGAGAGTTTTAATTTGACAAGAATTTAATAGCTTTCCATTTATGTACAATAATTGTTCCGACTTTCAGGTTTTACTTTAGATACATACAAGAGCAGAAATCGTATAGCTATAATAGTTTTGTACTAAAATTATAAACTTACTTAGTTAGGATTTTTGAAGTTGAAATAAGTTTTATTAATTTTAAAGAATACTGAAAAATTGAATCTCATTCGAATCGCCTACTTTAAAAACAAATCTGTAAACCAATGACATCAAGTTAATAGATATTTTCTAAAATTATAACAAGAGCAGAACTTAACTAAATTCAAATTACGACGTTGTAGCAGTCGTAATAATCAAAGGATTACAGATGGCGCTTTAAGAAATAAACCAAGAAAATTTAATTTTACACAATAACAAGTGAGGAGGGAATGCCTAAAGATGTCGCTATATGACATTAATATAAGTATGCAAATTAACTGTTAAGTTCTAACTTTAATTGAGAGAATGATAATGATTTAAAAGAGCAGTAATTATAATACCACAAAATATTTTTTACAAAAATTTCAAATTTTTTTTTCTCTTGATTGGTTATGAGTTTAAAAAGAAACTAGTTTTTTTTTTATAACTACTCATTTACCATAATAAATTCGTTTAGTTAGGTTAAAATTATTTTCTTTTTCATTTTTCATAATTTGACTTTTTAACACTTGAGTTTGTGAAAACGATTCGGTTTACTAAGTATACAAGTATGTATGAATGATTCATTAACATTATGATGACGGATTTTCATTTGTTTTGTTTACAACTCTCTTTTGCTCTACTGACACAGTTTCGAATTTTTTATTTGTTTTTAGTTTTTTATTATAAAATTTTAATGTTTCTGCATCTTTAGCATAATTGTTGTTTTCATTCACATTAAATATTGTGTTGGGGTCAGCAACAAAACTTCAATTTGTTGATTAATTTTTTTTTTATATCAGTTGTATTAAAGTTAGATTAGGTATAAATTATTTTCAAAGAAAACCGGAGCAGATTATTTTGTTTTTTTGAGCGCCAGACGGCTGTAGTAATTTATTTTACACTAACACTTTTTAAGGTTGAAGAGTTCTTATACACATACGTACGTACTTGCATTCTTTATTTGCTTAATGTTGCGTTAATTTAATTTTTTTCCATTGTTGTGTTTTTTCAACACTTACTAGTGTTGTTGTAAGTAGTAAACATGCTTATTATATCCGAGTTTTGATTAATATAGTACACGAATCTCTTGTCAATTAGCAGTTTGTTCAATTTTATTAATTATAGAAAAAAAGATTAAGAAAATTGCGGTGAAAGATAATTAAAAATACTTAGCTGTTTAAAACACAAGAATTCATTTATATAGAAAATATTGGATAATATACAAAAGAATGGAATTTTTTAAAGAATTTGTATAATTTGTTGATGGCCACACTAATAAAATAAAATAAGTAATAATCGTGTTAGAACAACAAAATTGTTGCACAGCCAGAATAAGTGTAAATAATTTAACCAGAAATATTGATGAGTCAGAAATTTCCTACGTTTCTTTTTGTTGTAAGTTTTGTAATTTTGACCATTAATCCACTATCTAAATTCTAGAATGTTGTTGATCTTTACGAGTATTAATATACAAAAATTTTCCATATTTTTGTTTTTAATGATAAAATATTTAGAATTGTCTTTGTATTATACTGGTGGATATTTTATGACAGTAAAAAATATTTCGAATTATCAAAAGCAAAGTCCATAATAGAAAGCCCAAATTATGTTTATTTTTCGTTGTAAATGTGTTGCATATGCTCAATGTTCAGTTAGATTATAATTTTTTTGAAAATATGGTTCTAAGAATGAATCACGTGAAATAAGTATGTTTGAGTCAATATAATATCATTGCTATATTAAAGTCTGGTCAATGACACTAATCATATAATTTTGTTAGGCTTCGTGTATGCATTTAAATAATATGTATTAGGTCATTGAGAGCTACAATGTTCCTTATAATCGGATTTAATGCTTTTCCTATCATTTAGAAAATTTAAATATATGTTAAAAGTATGGAAAAGAATGTCAAAGAGATTTTCTAGAAAAAAATCAACTTAAATATATTTTTAATAAGACTTAGAAAAGAATTTAAAACCGTAGTTTAATGTAATTTAGTTTGACTTGTCGTTTATGCGATTTAGTTTTTTAAATGTCTTTAGAGAAAGTCCTCTTACTTATTCGCAATAACGTTTTGTGGGCATACTAAAAACTAAAGCATTTGTACCAAAATTTCAAGTCTGTACAAGTTTTCTTTCAAAAATTAACGTTTCAATTTATTAAGGAAACAAAGGGATAAACGTGGCGGGATCGACTTAGGTTTCTTTTCTGGACAAGAATATATCTTCTTTGTTGATTGCAAATGACCTCTGATGCTATCTAAAAAATAAAAAATTGTTAATTTAGATAAATGACATAAAAATAAAACAAAAACTCTACGTCTGTAATATTAACAATATTTCTAAATTATACGTACATATTCATACACACTTAAGTAAAGGCGACTTCATATAGCCATGAAATTAAAATTAAATTTACAAAAAAAACTAATAATTATATAAGCTTTGCTAATTCTTAAATGATAAAAATAACTAAAAATTTTAAAATTATGTTGAGGTTTAACATAAAATACAAATTAACTTTTGAAAAAAAAAAATTTAATTTATAATAAATAGAAAAAACTTTAATTTTTTTTCAAAACTTTCAAAATTTGCACATAAAATTTAAAAAAAAGTAACTATTTTCATAATTATGTAGTTTTTTTACTGTATTTCAATGCGAAACAGAAAAAAAACTTAAAATGCCAATTTTTTGCTTATAAAATTTAACGACATCTAGTGACAAATAAGTGCATATGTGAATTTTTTGTTTATTTTATTTGAAAATTATTTTTTATCTCATAAAATGCAAAATAAAAAATTAATTTTTATGCAAACAAAATTTCAATCAATATCGGAACAAAATGCTGATGAAAATTTTAAAATCAAAATTAGTTCATACCTTTTATAAAAAAAAAAATTCATACCTTTAACCTTAAAACAAAAAGGTTTATGAATTTGTGTTTTTTTAAAAATTAATACACAAATAATAAAACCTTAATAATTTCGATGTGAAAAAAATTAAAAAAAAAAAATTATAAAAAAATTCTTCTTTTCTTATAATATTATTAAAAAAAAAGTGAAAGTAAATAAAATTAAAAATTTCAGAATAAACAACAAATTATAAAGAAAAACAATAATAATTGTGTGATTAAACGACGAGAGTTTAAAATAACAATAAAAATTAACAATATAAGTAATAAGCAAATTCATTCACTTCACTCACACGTAAAATACAAATAAAAACAAAATATATACCGTTAAAAATACTCACTAAATGAGTACAAATTAAATTTAATAATAAAGTTCACAATAATAACTAGAATTATTTTATGGGAGCAATAACGACAATAACTTAATTTACTTGTATCATTATAGGATTATATATAACTACATATATAAAATTAAAATAATACTAAGGAAATAAAATAAACAAAGAAAATTGAAAAATAAAAATATTGAATTAAATTTCAATTTAAATTTTAAAATATTTTATAAATATATAAGAATTAAAACAAATAAAATAGAATAAATATGTATGGAAAAAAGAATAAATTATGTACAAAATTATCTAGCGCATTTTTAAGAAAGTGGTGTAAGTATACTTTTATTGTTACTCATAAATGTAGAATAGTAATTCTATACCTATTCATAAGTCATAATTAAATAAACAATTAAATTTTAGATTTATGTAGAAATTTTCGAAGATATCTGTAATAATTTCATTTGGCAAGATTTTATTTTATCATCATACTTTTTATTGTGATTATTGCATATTACGAGTATTAGGGATATTCGATATTATTATTATTTTTATTTTTGTTACGGTACACTACATAATTAGTAGTAATCTATATAATATATATCTATATAAATAATACGTTTAGAAAAACATTAAAATTTTGTAACATTTTTTTTTTTTACATAAGGTCTTTAGGTTACATAAAACTTTGCTCAATATTCATTATTTATTATAAAGCTAAGCAAATTTATTTTAGACCCCATATACATTTTATTTGTTACAAAATATAGAGAATTTTAATACAAAAATTTAAAATAATTTGCATATTGCACATTTAAATAGCATCCGGAATATTTAAGCAATATCCGACATTTTTTATTGTTGACTCACCCTTAATTACATCTCAATTCAAACTACAAATTATATTAAATACATCCTGCCAAATTATTGAATAATATGGCAACCCGATTTGGATTTTATTTAACATTTTAAAAAAATCAAAATTTTAACACAGTGGCTTTTCTTTTTCATTGATCAAAAACAATTCACTATTAATAGCATAATTAAAATTTAATAATCTTGGTTAAAAATTTAAAATTAACATAATTTCTGAAAATTGATTAAAAATTAGGTAATAGTTAATTTTTATTGTTTAACAATAAGTAAACCTTTTTTTTTCACCAATACAACAGTCAATTTTGGTTTGCCTACTTAGTCCAAACCAAAAATTTTCATTATTAATCAAATAATTTTAATTATAATGCAATTATAAAATTTTTTCCCATTTTTTTTTTTTTCAATTCTCTTTTTTAAATTTTTAAGGTTTTTATTTGAAAACCTTATAATGCTGTTATAATTGATAATTAAAAAGTCTTTTAAATTAGGTTATGGACAAATAAGTAGAGTACCGACAAATTTTTTAAAAATTTATTTTCTTATTTCCTATAATGTAAGGTAGAGTAATAAAACTATTTGTAAAACATTTGTGAACATGTTAAGATTTACCGTTCTGCTTAGTGTGAAAATTGTAGCAAATTATAGTAGATTATAGATTAACAAATTGAACACTTTTAGATTTCATATCTGAATATACTAACCCTATTCTTTGGCAATATCATTTTGTTGCACTTTCGTAAAATTTAATTTCGAAATCCTTCCTAAATAATTTAAAAAAACTTTAAATTAATTATTGTGAATTATAAATTTTTACAATTCACAATTTGATATTTTCTCAAAATTTCAAAGTGTTTTTTCAATACTGACATAAAGAAATTTTTGCAAAAATTTCAATGTTGTCAATGTATAATCAATTGTGTGTTTTTAAAAGCTGCAAATTTTTATAATTTCAAATTTTAATTATAATTTCTCATCTATAAACTATTAATAATTAATATAATAAATGGTTATTTATCGATTACTTAAGAAATTGACTAATTTATTACATTCAATGTCATATCTTCGCATTTTTAATATGTCTAAGAATATTATTGTTGAAATTATTAAATAAGAGAATTAACAAAAAAAAAAACTCTACAAAAATATTTAATATTTTTGACTCCGGGGGTTAAATTACCTTTTTATTAATTTTGCGTTTTTACAACAATAAATATTCTCATATTTGATGTAAGAAACAAGGTATTTTTCTTTTCTCTAATCTTCAATAACAAATTCACAAATAAAATACACCTGTCATAATTTACCTAAATATTTTTTCAATATAAGATTTCGAAAAAGAGTCAATTAATAATTTAATAGATTTTTGCTTGATTTTTTTTCTATTTTTACCTGCTTTTAAAGATATTATAATTAACACATTATAATTATGTATCTATAAATTTTTATAACAAAAAAAAATTACAGATGACCTTCAGTATAACAATTGAGAATATCATATGTTATGGTACAATATGAGGTTCATGGTCAATTTTGTATTAAAAAATAAAAAAGAAAAAAAGTGATTACCTATTCGTTGGTACCTATGCGATCAAGAGTCTCCATTATTATTTTTTAACAATTTTTGTATTTTTTTTTAAGCCAAAATTTGAAATTTGGCAAAATTGCAATTTTTTGTTTTGTGTTCGGGGAAAAATAAATTTTATTAGTGATCAATCATTTCGTGACACGAACTTTATTAAACATCATTAAAAAATAATTGGAGAATACGACATAACGCCATCTATGGATTGTATATGAAAATTATGTTATTTCACATTTTGCAAAATGTTGTCAATATGTGATTTGTTTACTATCACTACACAATATGTTTGTACATCAACTTAAATTAAATGTGTCAATTTACTAAAATAAAATAAATAAATACATTTGGAGACAATTTAAGTATTTAGCAATTAACAATATAATTTTAGTTAATAAATTAAAAGAATTTTTAAAGTATTTTAAAAAGATTGCGATTTTCTTTTAAAAGACAAAAAATGGTAAATAAAAATTAATAAGATGTTAATTACGTTAATTTTTTGTATACAAGTATCCGAGGGAAAAAAAATATTTAATTAATATAATTATATTATCGTTTCTAACACGCATCTAATAAGTGATTTAATAAATAAGCTGGATCCGCTTATATCCAATTTGAACAATGTTATAATGAAATTCGGAAACTATTATACAAATTTAAATTGATCCAGGATATGAATTGGCTTAATTGAATTTGAAGAAGTATTAGAGAAAATTTAAAGAAGGGGCAACAGTTCTGAGAACTGACCTTAATGAATACTGAGGAAAAGCATATTTAGCAAAAAATTTAATTTAGACAATATTTTCAATATACCGACAGTATTCAAATTTACTGTATGAACAGAGCTTTGTCTGAAAACATTCTGAAAATATTTATTATTTATAAAAATTTAATTGAATTCGGATTTAATTAATTTTTTAATTTACAAACACTCAAAAATATAAAATTTGTGTTTACAAACAAAAATCTATGGACGAATCAAATATTTTTTGTTAAATTTTTAGGCGCATGCTCGAAAACTTCCTTATAGATAGGTGTTAACTATTCTCGCAACAAATAAAATTCCCTTAAGGGTGTTAAATTAAAATAATTTGCATATAAAATGTAGAATATTGAGAATTCTGTGTTTTTTTTATTGGCGAATTCTTTTTTCTTGTTAAACTGATGTTAAAGTATGCTTTAAAAAAATTTTTGTATGCTTACAAATTCTTTAAACAATTAAACTTTCAGTTTCACTTTATATTTCTAATTAAATGAAATTGCGTATACCACCAGGAGCCCACAACAATTTCGATTTAATTAAAAGTTTGAAATATAAAGACGCACGGCTGGGGGACATTTATTAATGTATTTCAGTCTTCCTATTTTTAAGTTTCGATCCGTTCCAATAAACCCCACAAATTTTCTATCGGGTTTAGGTCAGGTATGGAGGTGAATGTAACTGCTTTGACACATTTAAAATTAGCCATTCCTTAACGATTTTCGCACAATGTTTAGGGTCGTTAACTTGTTGAAACATGAATGATCGCGCATTAATACCCATTTTTTCGGCATTTGGCTTTATATTATTTCTCAAAATATTTAAATACCCATTTTTGTCCATAATGTTATCAATAAAAACCAATATATTCAATTGATACTTCTGGTGACTAGTTCAGCCAGTTGAAAGGGTGAATTTGAACAAGATCGAATTTCAATTGCAATAAAATATAAAGCTATTGAATCGTTTTTTCTAAATCTTAAAAATCCATCCAGTCCAGATATAGCAAAAATGAAAACAGACTAAAAGTGAAAATGTTTTTAAAATTTAAATAAATTTTTTTTTTTAATAAAAAATTACAATAAAAAAAATAATACGTTTTGCTTGACTAATTCGATTTACTTTAAATTATAGCAAAGAAAATTACAATAGTATAGAATTCCATAATTTGTATCGAAAACATTGAATATAAAAACAAAATATTGTTCAAAATAGAAAATAAAATCAATAAATGAACCTAACCTGCTCAATATGCTGTGAATATAATTCATAACTTATAGTGTATGACTTAATGTGGAGTTGTAGACTCTCTAATAATGTTAGTTTTGTATTCAAAATTTGTATTCAAAATTTCCCAAAACTATAAAAATTCATGTGAATTATTTTATATTCCAAACCATTGTAATTAACCATTCATAATTTTGAATAAATCGCATAGAGTAATGTAAAAAAAAAATTTATTTAATTTTTGATTTTCTATTATATTTAAATCGTATTTTCTTTAATTATTTCAATACAGAGTAATATACATTGAATTTAAATTCAAATAATGCATATCACAGAATAAATTTAGTTTAATTAAAATAATATTTAAATAAATAGTAAAATTTAATGAAAAAATTAAAAATTTCTTTTTTTTTTATATTAATTTTGTGAGATCAGCCGAAACCAATATTAATAAAAATTATTTACTTAGATTTTAATTAAAGATTTTTAAAAGTAAATTGCTTTAACTTGAAATTTTGACATTTGTGATAAAAATTAAGTATACTTGGCAAGCTGAAATCTCGAAATCGTGCAGTGTTGCAAATTAACTTGCAAATTATTTTTGCATTTCAACTACACAACCACCCAATACTGGATATTTTAAATTCGATTTCATTTATGAGAAAAATTGGAAAGCATAAAAAAGCGACAATGCATTCCTATTTAGAGAAATAATGAGATTTTTATATATCCCAACAGTGTTGCCGTCTTATACAAGTACGAATAATTGGAATTTATTAATAAAAAAAATCCTCTTCGCAATCTTACCAATTTTAATTAAATTCATAAATTTTACAGCCTTCAAATGTGATTTATTGAAATATTTTATAGAAGTATTTCTAAAAAAATATT